CACTTGCAAAAATCTCATTACTGGTTAAAAGTACAGATGCTTGATTCACAATGGAGTTACATCCCAATAATCCCATTGTAAACTGAAAATATCGTTAATTTATGCATTTACTACACATAACCTACCAAACATTATGGCTTAAGCCTAGCCTACCTTACCTTAAATGTGCTCAGAACACATTAGTCTGAAGTTGAGCAAAATCATCTAACACAAAGTCTACTTTATAATAAAGTGCTGAATATCTCATGTAAGAGCATTATACCACATGTCCTTAGCCTGGGAAAAGATGGAAATTCAAAATTTGAAGTACAGTTTTTTTTCCTTTTTCTTTTTTTTTTTTGAGACAGAGTCTCGCTCTGTCCCCTAGGCTGGAGTGCAATGGCATGATCTCTGACAAATGCAACCTCCATCTCCCAAGCAGCTGGGACTACAGGTTCGTGTCACCATGCCTGGCTAATTTTTGTATTTTTAGTAGAGACAGGGTTTCACCATGTTGGCTAGGCTGGTCTCGAACTCCTGACCTCAACTGATCCCCCGACCTTGGCCTCCCAAAGTGCTGAGATTACAGGCATGAGCCACCATGCCCAGCCTGAAGTACAGTTTCTAAGGAACAGGTAGCAATTTTGTATCATTATAAAGTAAGAAATCGTTAAGTCAAACCATCATAAACTGAGAACTGTCTATACTTTTGTTTAAATGGCACACCTCTCCTCCAACACATTTATACCATCTCTCTTGTCCCACAGGGCCATGGGCGTTTTGAGACAGGCTAATAGCCACTAAGTGATAATCTGATATGGTAAAGGATTTGATGAAGTAAATGCACAATAGTTTGATGCTTTCCCTGCCACTCCCAGGAGGTAGGTCAGTTCATTTAGGAACAATCCAAGGAACTGCCTTTCAACAAGGGCTGACCTTTAGTCTTTCCATATAGACACCCTAGATGTCCCAGCCTCTGCCTTAACTTGGACCCAAATCCCTGGATTAGCTAATACTGAATCCATCTCTCTAGGGAGCTGTCTCAAAACCAAACCAATAACTGGAGATGAAATTCCTGCTGCCTTCAGTAAATTATTTTTTTGTACCAAACTTTGACACTACTGAATCTCCCTAACAACTTTTTGACAGATACTGAATCCTAAGAAGCCCCCAATATCCTAAACATAATCTTCTTCCAGCATAAACCAGTAATCTCTCCCCAATAACACCATATTTAGCCCAAATGGGAGCACACATAGATTAGGACAAACAGCACTCTCACTTCACCCTCACTCCTGAAGCTCTTTTTTCAAGTGCTTTGGATTCCAGTTAACTGTGCAGGAACTTCTCACCCTGAGGGCAGAGCTTGCATCTGGTTCAGCTCAGCTATCCCCAAGCTTTAAGGACTACAGAGTCTCTAGAACAAATTTAGACCCTATTATTACCAGATCAAGAGTGCTGCAGCCTCAAATCAATATTCCCCAGCTGGCTCAGAGTAGAACCTACCTCAGAAAGGGTCACTCAAGTAACCTTAAAGTCAAGGGGACAGCCTTTCTCTCCTTGGTCTCAAACACCATCTTTGGAAAACAAAATGTATGTAATAATATAAAAACTACGAAGGGCTGCATGCAGTTTGGTTAGAAACTCTGGAGGAACAAAACAGAGGGGTGGTAAGAAGACACTTCTATCAGATTGTACAGCCAGGTCAAAGTAGTAAAGAAAAAAAAATTAGAAGCCAGAGCATCAGAATATTCAGTGGTTTTCCCTAGAGGAAAATAATACCCTTGGGTAGTTCACAAAATAAAATGAAACTCTTCAGGCCAGCAGTAGTACCTCCTATACTAATACTTCTGACTACATTTATATAAGATTTATAACTTTTAAGGTGCTTTTATATACATATCCCCTTTAATTCTCACACATCAACCCAGCAGGAAAATGGCAAGATTAGTCCCACTTTAAATATCTCTTTTAAGTTAAAAAAACAAACAAACAAACAAACAGTGTAATAGTGGCAAGAGAGCATGCATGGTGGCTCAAGCCTGCAATCCTAGCACTTTGGGAGGCTGAGGCCGGTAGATCACGAGGTCAGGAGTTTGAGACCAACCTGACCAACATGGTGAAATTAAAAATACAAAAATCAGCTGGCTCACTGCAACCTCCCATCTCTGCTCATTGCAACCTCCACCTCCTGGGTTCAAGCGATTATCCTGCCTCAGCCTCCTGAGTAGCTGAGATTACAAGGCACATACCACCACATCAGGCTAATTTTTTTATTTGAGTAGAGACAGGGTTTCACTATGTTGGCCACGCTGGTCTTGAGCTCCTGACCTCGTGATCCACCTGCCTCAGCCTCCCAAAGTGCTGGGGTTACAGTTGTGAGCCACAGGGCCCAGCCAACAAATCTTAAAAAAACAAAAAACATACACTGATTCCTAATACATTTTTCTGTATTTTTCAGCATTTGTATAAAGAGCATGAACTACATCTATAAAGATGTAGTTTATAAAGAAAAGAACTTGAAAATGCTATGTGGATTAATTTTACACTGACTTATTCCTTTTTCTTTTTTGAGATGGAGTCTTGCTCTGTGCCCAGGCAGAGATCCGATCTCAATTCACTGCAACCTCTCTGCCTCCCAGGTTCAAGTGATTCTTCTGCCTCAGCTTCCCAAGTAGCTGGGACTACAGGTGGGGACCACCATGCCCAGCTGATTTTTGTATGCCTTTTCTTATTCTCTTAGGAGAGCTGATTCTTATTCTTTAGGAAAAGGGTTACATCTGTAATCCCAGCACTTTGGCAGGTTGAAGCAGACAAATCGCTTGAGGTTGAGAGTTCAAGACCAGCCTGGCCAACACGGCAAAAGCCCATCTCTACTAAAAATAAAAAAATTAGCTGGGCATGGTGGCATGCACCTGTAATTCCAGCTACTCAGGAGACTGAGGCATGAGAATTGCATGAACCTGGGAGGCAGAGGTTGCAGTGATCCGAGATTGCACCACTGCACTCCAGCCTGGGTGAGGGAGTGAGACTCTGTCTCATAATAAAACATAAATAAATAAATAAATAAATCGCTTGAGTCCAGGAGTTGGAGACCAGCCAGGGCAACATGGTGAAATTCCATCTCCACAAAAAAGTACAAATATTAGCTGGGGTTGGTGACACCCACCTGTGGTCCTAGCTACTCAGGAAGCAGGGGTGGGAGGATCACCTAAGCCAGGGAGGTCGAGATTTAAGTGAGCCATGATTGTGTCATTGCTCTCTAGCCTTGAGTGACAGTGAGACTATGACCCCCAACCAAACAAAAAAAAAAAGGAGGAAGGTGGTAATAAGCCATGTTTCCACAACCAGATTTTTTTTAAAATGGAAGAAGGAAACTCTGGATCCAAATTACCGATTGCATTTTTCTTTTTTTTTTTTTGAGACGGAGTTTCGCTCGTTACCCAGACTGGAGTGCAATGGCACGATCTCGGCTCACCGCTACCTCCGCCTTCTGGGTTCAAGCAATTCTCCTGCCTCAGCCTCCCAAGTAGCTGGGACTACAGGCACGCGCTACCATGCCCAGCTAATTTTTGTATTTTTAGTAGAGACGGGGTTTCACCTTGTTGACCAGGATGGTCTCGATCTCTTGACCTCGTGATCCACCCGCCTCAGCCTCCCAAAGTGCTGGGATTATAGGCGTGAGCCACCGCGCCCGGCCCCGATTGCATTTTTCAAGGGTTTAACTATTCTGTCCCTATTGGAGGAATGCGGCAGAGAATCTAAACGTCAACATATTCTCTTTAAGCCAGAACAGAAAATACTAGACAATAAGGAATAAGAAAACACCGAAGAGTGTAAAAACCATTACAGAAATAGCCCAGCGCGGTGGCTCACACCTGTAATCCCAGCACTTTGGGAGGCCAAGGCGGGCAGATCACGTTAAGTCACGAGTTCGAGACCAGCTTGGTCAACATGATGAAACCCCGTCTCTACTAAAAATACAAAAAAATTTAGTTAAGTGTTGTGACGGGCGCCTGTAATCCCAGCTACTCGGGAGCCTGAGACAGGAGAATTGCTTGAACACGGGAGGTGGAGGTTACAGTGAGCCGAAATTGTGCCAGAAATAACTGTGTATAACGCAGGCCATAAGAAATGTGTTAATACTAGAACTTTGGGAGGCCGAGGTGAGCGGATCACGAGGTCAGGGGTTCGGGACCAGCCTGGCTAACATGGTGAAACCTTGTCTCTACTAAAAACACAAAATTAGCCAGGCATGGTGGCGCACGACAGTAATCACAGCAATTCGGGAGGCTGAGGCAGGAGAACCGCTTGAAACTGGAAGGCAGAGGTTGCAGTGAGCCGAGATCGTGCCACTGCACTCCAGCCTGGGCAACAAGAGCGAAACCCCATCTCAAAGAAAAGAAATGTGTTTATGCAATTCCGATAATCTTTCCTGAATTAAATTCTTAAAGCACACAGACAAAATATAAACTATAAATAAATATCAATAACTAACTAGAAAAGTCCATTTGCCATTTACCTTTAACCTTAAAACCCTTGTCTCTTTAAGGCACAGTCAGCCCTTCTACTAAGTTACACATTCACAAGTTGCTAGAACACAGTCTCAAGTTCATAGTGGTTTTTGGTGTGGGAGTGGTCAATGAAAGGCTGATGACTCCAACCAGCCGGGGCTAGCAATGGGTAGTAATTCTACACTTAGTAAATACCAAAGCCTACTTATTACAACAGGTCCAACAAGTAGGCCTAAGATAAAAACAACTGCCCAACGACGCCCTTCCTGAGCAGGCTGAGAAAGACGCCCACAAGGCCCAAGACCAAACAAAGCAAAGCTACCTCACCTGCCCAAAGGTAACCAATCGCAACAGAGCGGGGCCGCCCCGTGGGCCTGCGAAGGTAGTCCCAGCCCCAGCCTCCCTCGCCTCTGCCGTCGGCCAAGAACTAAGGAGCCTCGCGTGTCACAGTAGTGTGTGACATCACCGCCCTGCCGTGACAGGGCAGTCTGTCCTACCAGGCCCTACCTCGAGTCTCGGCTACTGGCCGCTCACCCAGGCTCGACCCGATCCGAGGACCCGGCCGCAGCGGAACAGCAATCGGTTGGGTGGGGTTTCGCTTTCCTTCACTTCGGAAGGACGTGCTCTGAATTTAGGCGATCAAGACTGGGCCAAGGGGCCCTACGTCTACACTTAGCGCAGGAGGACAGGAGAAACGCGGAGCAGGAGGAAGGAAAGGCGGGGTGAGAAGCGGCCTACGCCAGCGCTCTGGCGCAGAATAGGGCCTCGACGCCCCGCAAAACCCCGCAGACTCGTCTCCGCCCCACCCCCGCTCCAGCACTGTTGCGCATGCGCAGCACCAGCTCCCTGGCTTCCCTCCCCGCCCAGTTTTCCTGAGTCTGGTCTCCGAACAGGGCCCCGTTCCCTCAGGGTGCCATTTGTCCGCAGACAGAAGCTGCTCCCACTTTTGCTCAAACAGTAACTGCTAATTCCCTTTCCATTTCTCACTCCCAGTTCGTCCAGTCTTAGCTTCAGACATACCTTCCCAACCCGCCTCTCCAAGGCCGACTTGCACTTCTAACACCGGAAACGCTCTGACTCGCCCACCTCCGCTCCCGACTTTTACCCGGCGTCCTCCCGCGAGGGATGCCCCCCCCAGTGCTCCGCTTAAGACCAGTTCTCATTGGCCGTTGGCCGAAATTCTGCTTTCCATTGGCTGTACGTGCATAAACAACGATTGTAGTTCAGAGGCCTGAGCTTGTCAATCAAGACTCTGGTCACCAACCGCCGACGAAGCAAACGGTCTCCGCCTTTTTACCTTAGTAAGCCAGGTCACGGTGCGCTGCTGCCTCTAATGGAGAAAGTGAAAATGAGCAGGCCCCGCCCGGGACAACCCCACGACTCGTGAGGGGGTAGCATTGCAGTCTCAGTATTCTGGCTTTAGGCTTGTCATGGAATGTTAAAGGGGGAGATTCAGGGAACACATAAAAAAAGTGCCCTCGCAGGTGAAGCTAGAGGAGCTTAAACTTCAGAGTACCTTTGAAAGCTCTGCGACTTCTCCAGAATATGAGAGAAGGAAATAGCCGGATTCCAGAATAGGAGGAAATCCAGAATTTAGGAAATCACTTTCTGGAAAGACAGAACAGTTCTTTTCACTAAATAATACAAATATCCAGAGTATGATTCTCAGTACGCAAACCCAGGTATTCAATTAATAGAAGTTAATTTTCGGCCGGCCGCGGTAGCTCATGCGGTGCCTCAGCACTTTGGGTTGCTGAGGTGGGTGGATCACTTAAGGTCACAAGTTGGAGACCAACCTGGCCAACGTAGTAAAACCCCGTCCCTAGGTCGGGTGCGGTGGCTCACGCCTGTAATCCCGGCACTTTGGGAGACTGAGGTGGGCAGATCACCTGAGGTCAGGAGTTCCAGACCAGCCTGACCAACATAGTGAAACCCCATCTCTACTAAAATACAAAAATTAGCCAGGCGTGGTGGCAGGCGCCTGTAATCCCAGCTACTCCGGAGGCTGAGGCAGAAGAATCTCTTGAACCCAGGAGGCGGAGGTTGCAGTGAGCTGAGATCGCACCATTGCACTCTAGCCTGGTCAATAGGAGTGACTCCGTCTCAAAAACAAAAACAAACAAAAAAACCCCACCTCTATTAAAAATTTTAAAAAATTAGCCGGGCGTGGTGGCGCATGCCTGTAATCCCACTACTCAGGAGGCTGAGGTAGGAGAATCGCTTGAACCTGGGGGGTGGAGGGTGCAGTGAGCCGAGATCTCACCACTGCACTCCAGTCTGGGTAAAAAATCGAGACCCCGACTCAAAAAAAAAAGAAAGGTAATTTTCTATAATACAACCTAATATTTACGATAGTACAACATAATATTTACTCTGAACCTCATTCCACCAGCATGGAGAAAAAAAAAGTATTACCAGTCCTTCGTTGGACCCTTGGACCCCAGCATGGAGGTCACTCTCTCAGGCCAAGTGGCTGTTGAGGGTGGGCTGGGGTAGGTAGGCCAGAAGACGAGGGCGGTGACCACCAGACAGCTGTTAGCAGCCCCTTTGGAGACCAAGCCAAGGGAGATCAAAGGGCTGGAATTCTCCCCAGGGCTTTTCCTCAGCAAGAAGCACCACCGGCACAAGATAGAAATTTAGAAATAACAGAAGAAATTTAGACAAGGCATTTGATCAATTTCTTGCTTTTCCTCAGCAAGAAGCACCACCGGCACAAGATATTATAGTAAGGAGTTGCAAAGCTGATAATACAAAGTTTTGAGACTATCAATTTTTTAAAATCTATTTTTGACGAATTTAGCTTTCTAACATCTCTATAAAAATGGTGCAAAATGGTCATTTAGTTGCAAAAAGTATGCAAGTGAAAAATGCAAGACAGGGTGAAGACTTACAGCCATTGTTGCTAGGCAGTTATTATTATTTTTCTGGATTTTGTGATATCTGTGGTTTTTGTCAGTATTTCAAAATCTACAATGATTCTTCTCATTCTCAATATTGACTTTATTATATCATTTAATTCTTTATTATATACGTTTATTTACTCTAAATAAATATTGAATTTATTCATAATTTTAGAGCCCCAAAATTGTATACGTTTCAGGCTCCACAGAGCATATATTCACGCTTTTTGTTTTTTCTTTTTCTGAGATGGTCTCGCTCTGTAGCCTAGGGTGGCATGCACTGGCATAATCTTGGCTCACTGCAACCTCAGCCTCCTGGGTTCAAGTGATCTCCCACCATAGCCTCCTTATTAGTGGGACTAGAGATGCATGTCACCATGCCTGGCTAGTGTGTGTGTGTGTGTGTGTGTGTGTGTGTGTGTATTTTTGTGATAGAGACAGGGTCTCACATATAGCCCAGGATGGTCTTGAACTCCTGGGCTTAAGTGATCCACCCGCTTCTGCCACCCAAAGTGCTGGGATTACAGGAATGAGCCACCGCGAGTGGCCTAAGCATATATCCACTCTTGATACTCATTTTACAGATTAGGAAACAAGCCCACAGACAGAAAAGGTTGTGGCAAAATAACAAAGAAATTTAGACAAAGCATTTGATCAATGGAGATTAGATCAGAATCCAGGATTTAGGAAATCACTTTCTGGAAGGATAGAATAGTTCTTTTCAGTAAAGAATCTGAATATGCTGGTATGATTCTTAGCATGCAAACCCAGGTCTGCAATTAATAGAAGTTAATTTTATATAATACAACCTCATATTTACTCTGAGCCTTATTCCAGCGGAATGGAAAAAAAGTATTATGAGTCTTCTTGGGATTTCTCTCCCTGCATATGCCTCCCCCATCCACACTAACTTCTGCCATATTCTTGAGGCCAAAGTGCTGGAGAACAGGGCCTATCTGGTCATCAATCCACACAAGTTGTTGCAGAGATTTTTTTTTTTTTTTAAATGGAGTTTCACTCTCTTTGCCCAGGCTGGAGTAAGTACTGTTGCGTGATCTTAGGTCACTGCTACCTCCATCTCCTGGGTTCAAGTGATTCTCCTGCCTCAGCCTCCTGAGTAGCCGGGATTATAGGCATGCACCACCAAGCCTGGCTAATTTTTTTTATTTTTAGTAGGCATGGGGTTTCACCATGTTGGCCAGGCTGGTCTCAAACTCCTGACCTCAGGTGATCCACCTGCCTTGGCCTCTTGAAGTGCTAGGACTACAGGTGTGAGCCACTGCACCTGGCCCTGAGATTTTTACCTTTGTACCAGTGCAGCCCTTTCAGGTGCAGCAGCTCTGTTTTCATGCCATACTTAAGGTTCAATCGACCTTTTGTCAGGCTTATATTAAATTATGTGTGTAGAACAAGAGCTTGCTAAGAGTTCTGCCTGTACAGTTTTGAGTAACATAGAGTATTCACTTATTGAGCACCTACAATGTGCCCACTTTAGGCATGTGTAAGTATATCAGCGAACAAAACACAAAAATCACTGCCCTCATAGAGCTTAAATTCTAGCAGAGGGAGAAAAACTAAATAATAAGCATAATAAGTAAATTACATAGTATTGTTAGAGTATAAGGGCTATGAAATAGAGTAGGATAATTGGCATCAGAAGTTCAGAGAGTTGGAAGCTGAGGCAGGTGGATCACCTGAGGTCAGGAATTCAAGGGCAGCATGGGCAACACAGCGAAACCCTATCTGTACTGAAAATACAAAAATTAGCCAGACGTGGTGGCACACGCCTGTAATCCCAGCTATTTGGGAGGCTGAAGCACGAGAATCACTTGAATCCAGGATGTGCAGGTTGCAGTGAGCTGAGATCTTGCCAGCCTGGTGACAAAGTGAGACTCTGTCTCAAAAAAAAAAGGTGGGGGGGAGGTCAGAGAGATAGACATGTAGAAATTACAGAGGTGGTAGGCTTCATTGGGAAATCAGACGTGAGCGATAACTTGGAGGAGGTGGTGGGATTGCACAATGTAGGATCCAAGGAAAGAATATTCCAGGCAGAGGAACGGTAAGGGCAAAAGCCTTAGGTAGGAACATGCCTGGCACAGGTGAAGAGTAGTCAGAAGGCCAGTGCAGCTAGAGTGGTATAAATTAGGGCAGAAGTCACAGGAGACACAGTCAGAGAGGTAGTGCAGTGGGAGCAAATCACGTAGGGGCTTGAAAGACTTAGAAGGACTTTGGGTTTTTTGTTCTAAGGAAATTTGATAACCACTGCAGGGTTTTTAGCAGAGGACTAACATAATCTGACTTACCTTTTTACAGAACACTGGCTGCTGTTTAAAAATAAATCATGGAGGAAGCATCCCAGCAACCCAACCACGACCTGTCTTCCCTGGACACCATGAACCACACCGTCCAAACCTTCTTCACTCCTGCCAGGACCAGCCGTCCCCCAAACTATGAGATGCTGAAGGAGGAACATGAGGTGGCTGCACTGCGGGTGCCCCACAACCCTGCGCCCCTGACATCCACCGTGATCCACATCCAAAGCGAGACCTCCGTGCCCAACCACGTCATCTGGTCCCTGTTCAACACCCTCTTCATGAACTCCTGCTGCCTGGGCTTCATAGTGTTCGCCTACTCCGTGAAGTCTAGGGACAGGAAGATGGTTGGCAACCTGACGGGGCCCAGGCCTACGCCTCCACCGCCAAGTGCCTGAACATCTATCTGGGCCCTGATTTTGGGTATCATCATGACCATTCTGCTGATCATCATCCCAATACTGATTCTGCAAGCCTATCAGTAGATCCAGAGGAATCATCCTGGCCAGGGGCTCTGCCTGTGACCTGTCTCCCACGTACTCCAGCTTCCATTCCTCGCCCTGTCCCCAGTCAATCCTGTATCAGCCTTTTACCCTCACACACTTTTCTACAATTGTGTTCAATAAAGTGCACATGTTCCTGGTAATAAATAAATAAATAAATAAATCATGGAGGGCCAGGTGTGGTGGCTCATGCCTGTAATCCCAGCACTTTGGGAGGCTGAGGCAGGTGGATCACGAGGTCAAGAGATCGAGACCATCCTGGTCAACATGGTGAAACCCCCGTCTCTACTAAAAATACAAAAAATTAGCTGGGCATGGTGATGCGTGCCTGTAATCCCAGCTACTCAGGAGGCTGAGGCAGGAGAATTGCCTGAACCCAGGAGGCAGAGGTTGCGGTGAGCCGAGATCATGCCATTGCACTCCAGCCTGGGTAAACAAGAGCAAAAACTCCGTCTAAAAAACAAAAAATCGTGGAGATTCAAGGGTAGAAGCAGTACAGTTAGAAGGTTCACACCAAAATGGTAGTGGTGGAGGTGGTGGGAAGTAGATTCTGGATATATTTTGAAGGTAAAACCAATATAATTTGCTGGCAGGTGTGGGATATAAGAGAAAAAGGAGTCAAGGATGACGCCTAGGTTTTTAGTTGTATGTATTATCTACTGGCTTGTAACAGATCACTACAAAACTGAGTGACATAAAACAATAATCATTGATTATGTTATCTTTGAGGCCAGGCATGGTGGCACATGCCTGTAATCCTAGCACTTTGGGAGGCTGAGGTGGGAGGATCCCTCGACACCAGGAGTTCAAGACCAGCCTGGGCAACGAAGCGAGATGCCATCTCTATAAAAAAGAAAACAAGAACTTGAGAGCAGCTTGCTGGTAAGTCTGTCAGTCACTCTTGCTAGCCAGCATAATTCTTTCATAAAATAGTGTGAAATTGGGTCTCCAGAATGGTGTTGATATGCTTATTTGGGGTCAAACACAAGATGAGTTCAGGTCTCTGGGGTACCAACAGTACCCTTGGTCATGAGGCATGTGTTCAGGTCCTTGTGCTGGCCCTCCCTTGTCAGTGTTCTGACTGCTGGTGGTCCACAGCACCTGAGGACAACAGGGTGGTAGCAGGCATCTTTTGTTCTATGTATGACTGCATGCCATCTCCCTTCCGTCCCATTGCTTGCACCCAGGGTAGTTACCCCACCCCTGCTAAGGGTTCCATGACAGGTGTCAGGCAGTCCTCTGGAGTAGTCCAGCCTTTCTCCTCCAAGATGAATGATTTGGCGATTGTTGCTACACAGTGCCCAAGGGCCCTTTCCAAATGATGTCCTCGTTTGCTTCTGACTCATGCGGTGATGCAATGCTCCTTGTATGTTTCCCTCTTGGGCAACAAGAGGGAAACTCAGTCTCAAAAAAAATTTTTTTTGCCACAGACTTTGTCTCAAAAAGAAAAAGGTAAAAGTCCTTGTCTTCATAGTTTAGATATCAGACTATCAGAACTTGCATTACAATCAGGTTGTTCAATTTTGTTATTGTGTTTTTGTTTTGTTTTTTTGGAGACAGGGTCATGGTCTTGCCTTGTCACTCAGGCTGTAGTGAGTGCTGTGATGTAATCATGGCTCTCTACAACCTCAGTCACCTGGGCTCAAGTGATCCACCTCAGCCTCCTGAGTAGCTGGGACCACAGGTGCATGCCACTGTGCCCAGCTAATTTTTTTTCTTTTTTTTGTAGAGATGGGATCTTGCCATGTTGCTCAGGCTGATGTCAAACTCCTGCTCCTTAAACGATCTTCCCACCTTGGCCTCCCAAAGTGATGGGATTATAGGCTTGAGCCACCACGCCCAGCTTTAGTTGCTCAATTTTACCATGCTTGTCCTCTGCTTGTCATATTGTAGATCCAGGGCTTCCTGTTAGAATGTGACCATTCTGACTGGTTCATCAAGGTTACTCCCAGTTGACCTGTTTGGACTTTACATGCACCCGTGCCAACTAAGATAGCCATTTTCCTTCAACTTGGAAAATATTCCTTAAGCATCTTTTCTCTCTTGCTGACTTTGAGAAAAGACTGGTCTTAAAGACTCTTTAAAGGCCCTATTTTATCCTTTTGCTGGGGGAAAAGTACAAGGCATAACTAACCTTCTGAGGGCTTACAAGGTCAGGCACTGTACAAAGTACCTTACATGGATGCTTAACATCCCCAGTAGTCTCAGAAAGTGATGTTTTTACAGCATACGGTCAGTTACTTCCAGGGTCATGCCAGCAGGCACTGACTGGCAGATGTCTGTCCAGAAAGGATCTAGGCACACTGTCAGCAGAGCCCTACCCTTCACTGTTAACCTATGTAAGCAGCATTAAGGTTAGTTCTCCTGGGCTGGAGTCATCCTTTCCATCCTGACCTACATCCTGCCTATGGCTCTGGCCAAGAGTGGAAAGGGAAATTGTGAAGGGGTTTGAGCAAAATCCACCCCAAATCTTTGTAACCAAAGAATGTAGAAGAGCGAGCAGTCTTTTTAGTCTTTCTTCCCCAGCCAGCTGACAAATGACCAATTAATTAAATGGAAGAGGATAACAAACAGCAGCTCTTTCCATGTGTAGCAGACCTGTAGGCCTAAACTGGACCAAAGAAGACACTGGTGAATGGCAGAAGTGGAAGGTCCTCTGTGTTGAAAGAAGAAATAATATGTCCTTTTTTTTTTTTTTTTTTAGATGGAATCTCACTCTGTGGCCCAGGCTGGAGTGCAGTGGTGCTATCTCAGCTCACTGCAACCTCCACTTGGGTTCAAGCGATTCTCCTGCTTCAGCCTCTCCAGTAGCTGGGATTACAAGGTGCCCACCACCATGCCCAGCTAATTTTTCATACTTTTAGTAGAGAGGGGGTTTCCCCATGTTGCTCAGGCTGGTCTCGAACTCCTGACCTCAAGTGATCTGCCCACTTCAGCCTCCCAAAGTGCCGGAATTACAGGCGTGAGCCACCGGACCTGGCCAAGCAACAGTATGTTCTTTCTAAGCATGGTGAGCAGATGAGGGGATCCGTTATGTTCACGCTGGGGACAAAGATGGAGAATACAGTTCCTACTTTGTAGTCCTTCACCACTGAGCAGAGCTGGAGAGCCACATGTGAATGTTACCTGTAAACAGGGGTTAAGCATAGTAGGCCATGAGACAACAGCAGGAGACACAGCCTGGTCTGGTCGGTCAGAGAAAGTGCTTTGGAGGTGACATTTCAGCTAAGTAAATCTCAAAGGTTAAGTCAAAGGGAGGCAAGTGAAGAGATTAAGAAAGGCAATGGGAGTGGATATTTCTGGTCAAGGGATTAGCACAGAAAAGATGAGTAGTTCCAGCACAGGGAGTGCAAGGAGCTGCAAAAACAACTCAGGTTTTTGCTGACTTGGAAAGTTGAAAGAGACTAGTAGGAAATGGAGGGGGTGAGTCAACAGTTACTGAAGACCTGGTATGAGACACTATTGCATCAAACCTCTGACGAAATAATGAAGCTAGTTCATGAGAATGGCCACTAACATCATATTAAGACATACAACCTGACATCACATACCTCCTGATGGAAGTAAACAATACTACAAATGAAGTTTGTTTGTTTATTTGTTTTGAGATCTCTCACTCTGTTGCCCAGGCTGGAGTTGCAGTGGCGTGATGCTGGCTCACTACAACCTCTGCCCCGTAGGTTCAAGCAATTCTTCTGCCTCAGCTTCCCAAATAGTTGGGATTACAAGGCACCTGCCACCATGCCCAGCTAAGTTTTTGTAATTTTTTAATTTTTTATGGATGTCCTTTTTGCTGAATTTTTTGTATTTTTAATAGAGATGGGGTTTCACCATATTGGCCAGGCTGGTCTCAAACTTCTGACCTCAAGTGATCTGCCCACCTTGGCCTCCCAAAGTGCTGGGATTACAGGGTGAGCACTGCACCTGGCCTACCAATGAAGTTTTCTTTCTTTCTTTCTTTTTTTTTTTTTTAATAAAGAAGGGCTTTCACTGTGTTGGTCAGGCTGGTCTTGAACTCCCGACCCTAGGTGATCTTCCTGCCCTGGCCTCCAAAGTGCTTGGATTACAGGCATGAGCCACCAAGCCCAGACTGAAGTTTTCAGTTAAAAAAAATGGAATCTGGGGTGAACACAGGGGCTCACACCTGTAATTCCAGCACTTTGGGAGGCTGAAGTGGGCGAATTGCTTGAGTCCAGGAGTTTGAGACCAGTCTGGGCAACATAGTAAGACCCCATTTCTTTCTTTCTTTTTCTTTTTTTTTTTTGAGGTGGAGTTTCACTGTTGTTACCCAGACTGGAGTGCAATGGCATGATCTTGGCTCACCGCAACCTCCGCCTCCTGGGTTCACGCAATTCTCCTGCCTCAGCCTCCCGAGTAGCTGGGACTACAGGAGCGCACCACCATGCCCAGCTAATTTTTTGTATTTTTAGTAGAGACGGGGTTTCACCTTGTTGACCAAGATGGTCTCGATCTCTTGACCTCGTGATCCACCTGCATCAACCTCCCAAAGTGCTGGGATTATAGGCGTGAGCCACTGCGCCCGGCCAGTAAGACCCTATTTCTACAAAAAATACAAAAATACACCTGTGGTCTCAGCTACTTGGGAGGCTGAGGTGGGAAGATCAATTGACCTGAAACATTGAGGCTGCAGTGAGCTGTAATCACATCACTGTAATCCAGCCTGGGGGAAAAAAATTGAATCTAAATCATGTTAAGTTCTATATGAAGTAATAATACATATGTCAGTTCACTAGATTTGGTCATGCCACAATGTGTATACACTTCAAAAGATGTTGGACATATTTATGGTTTTATCTGTCAATTAATAATAAAAAGAAAACTTTAAGTTCAAACAATTGGTTTCTTTTTTCAAAAACTATGGCAAAGAATAAATCCAAAAACAGAGGAAAGGAAACCTAGACATTAAGAGTCTCATGAGACATATCAACAAAATGCAATCAATGATGTGATCTTGTTTGATTCCTGATTCAAATAAACCAGGTGAAGCCGGGTGCGGTAGCTCACACCTGTAATCCCAGCACTTTGGGTGGCCAAGGTGGGTGGATCACTTGAGGGCAGGAGTTCGAGATCAGCCCAACCAACATGGTGAAACTCCATCTCTACTAAAAATACAAAAAGTAGCTGGGCATGGTGGTGGGC